CAGGCCCGGGCCTTCCTTAGGGACTCTGGACCCCACAGTGAAGTCAAGGCCTGCTTTCCCAACCAGCTGGCTGAGTTCTCCTGCTCCTTCCAGGACCCCGGCTTAGAATATGGCCCCAACAGGGAAAGCCATGGCTGGACACTGCTGAGCCTGAAGCCACCTTCCCCAGGGGCCTCAGATGGCATGGGGTCCATGGGCAGGGGCTGAACAGTTATGCTCACGGCTGCCACCCTGGCCTTGCATTCACACAAGCCGGCTAATTACCCCCGAGCCAGGGAGACATTCTTCCACCACCAGGCAAGCTGCTGGCCTGTAGCCCAAACCAACAGGGGGAACTTCAGACTCCTTGGCCTCTCCCTGCCAGATGGAAATAACGTATAGCTGCAGAGGTGGGGGAGGAGGAGGGGAACAAAACCCAGCCAGGCCCGGGAGCCAGGCCGGGCCCTGAGTGGACAGCCGGATGGCCGGGCACTCACCGCTCTCGTTCTTCTCGATGACATCCACCACCTCCCCGGCCTGGAGGCTCAGCTCTGAGTTCTCTTGCTTCTTATAGTTGGACACCACCACGTACTGTTCCAGGATCATGGGCTCGGCGTTGGTGTCGGCACCTGGCGAGGGCAGAAAGCACGCGGTGAGCCAGCGGCCGGCCATGGCCCCGCGGCCGGGGCGCCCCCTGTCCATCAGCCTCGGGGGAGGCTGCTCGGTCGCCAGTGCTGCTCCGAGGGGCTGCCCGCAGCCAGGGCTCGCAGCAGCTCTCTGGGCCCCAAGGACAGGCCATATAGCAAGGCTCCACACCGGCCCGCTACCCTGTGGGGACCGGGGGACATGGGGAGCCAGGGGACAGGGGGAGGAAGAGGGGGAGGACAGAGACAGAGGCAGACAGAGATGGAGGCCAAGGATGTGGAGGAAAAGGGCTTCTGCTGAGAAGAGTTAAGTCACAGCCCAGCATTGGGGAGCTGAGGGAGCGGCCTGGGGCCCAAGTGGTCTGTCCAGACGCTGGGGCCAGCAGGGGTGTGTGGAGGGCCCCAGGGGGCGGGTGGGCGGCCCATGAGGGCTGAGGCCAGAGCGCAGGAGGGAGAAAGAGGAGAGGGAGGAGGAGGCCCTGCCTCTGCCCCCAGCCCTGTAAACCCAGAGAGAAAAGGCAGCCCGGCTCCCCTCGGGCGGGAGAGGGAGAGAGCGGGAGAGACTTCTCTGCAGCCCAGGCCCAGCGAGGAGTCCAGAGGGTTTGAGGCCGCCAATCAGTGGGGTTTACTTGCAACCCTTAAATAGAAACACATGAGACCCATCGAATGAGGAGCTGGGGGTGGAGGCAGGGGAGGAGGAGGGCTCAGACTGTTTACTTGAAACCCAAGAAGAAAGTCCCAGCGCCAGCGCTGGAGAGCCCAGCCCACCCCCCGCCAACTTTTCCTCAAGTTCGGCTCCATTCCTGCCCCTCTGGCTCGCCAAGGGACGGGCACAGACGGCCAGCCCCAGGCAGCTTGCCCTGCCCACGTCCAGAAGGACCTCAGTGGACCTGGCTGCCGTCCTCTCCTCACACAGGGGTGGACTCAGTCTCCCTGTGCCCTGAAGTGCGGGGCTTGAGGGTGCTCATCCTCTACCACCCTCCTGCCACCCTCACCAGCAGTTTCAGGAGCCTGAGGGGACGTAGCACAGGGAGGGCAGGTGGGGCCCAGGCTCCCAAGAGCAAATTCTCTGTCCTCCTTGGCCACTGCACCAGTGGGACATTCATCAAGCACCCCACTGGAAGGTGGGCAGCCTGAGTGCCCATCTCAGCTCCCTGGCTGTGCAGATGTGACATCCTGTGTAAACCTCTTTGCATTTCAACTATTACACTCTCCAACACCCAGGATGTCACGTGCCCTGACAGGAGTGAAAAAAACCCACAAGCCAAAGACTGGCTAGAGCCCTCCTTCGGGAAAACCTTCCCAGCCCTCTCCCAGCCCAAATAAAATTCCTAAGTACACTTCTTAAACTGTACGCCTGCCAGTCAGTTGGGGTAGTGCCCTGTAACCCCAGAACCTGGGAGGCTGAGGCAGGGGGATCACAAGAGCCCAGGGGTTTGAGGCCAGCCTGGGAAACGTAGTGAGACCCTGTCTCAAAAACAAAACAGCATGTCTGCCAATCTCCCTGGAGGCTGGGGTGCCACAGAACTGGACTGGCTGCAGAAATAGCTGAGGATCTCCTCTCAGCCCCTCGGTGCCTCAACCCACGGCCACAGGCCCTACACTCCTGAGCCTGACTTATGTGCCAGCACCTCACAACAGCCCCCTTTCCCCATTTTACAAACTAATCAGCGGCTCAGAGAGAGCAAGAGACTCCCCCAGTTCCCACTGCTGGTATGGAGAGAACCAGGATTCCCCAGTGTTTTTAGGATCAAGTCCATCTCTCTTTCCATTACAGAACCACCTGATGTCTGTTTCCACACATGTCACTCTTTGACTACAGTGGTCCCCAACTTGGTGGCACTGAATCACCTGAGGAGCTGTTTAAAAACACCAGCTTCAGAGGTCCAGGTTCAGGTGGTCAGAACCCAGGAACAAGTATTTTGTAGACACCCCATAATGCCCCATGTTCTGGGGGTGCAGCCAGGAATGAGAAGCACTGCTTAGATCTTTGTTGGGCAGCCTAGGCAGGGGGCACTGGCCACATTACTCTGGGAAACCCCAAGGGAGGCCCTCCTGGGGGGAGATAGAAACCCACTGCCCTGGCGGCTTTCTAACACATAGTGTGGGCCCTGCGGCCCCAGCAGGACTCTTTGGAGACCCAGAAGGGACCCCGCCCCTGCTGAGGTGTGCCACATGAGTGTGTACATGCAGCCCCAGGCAGCCCCTCCACAGGCGGATTGTATTTCAGGCAGAAATGCAACCAACAGCTGGGCAGCAGGCTGGCTCCGCCCCTGCACTCAGATGCTGCCAGCTTCTGTGCCTGCCCTGCCAGCAGGACAGCAGCAGCACTAGGCGAACAGATGTCCCCCAGTGTGTCCCCAAGGGACATCAGCTTCCACGTCCTGGGGGCGCCCCAATTCTACCAGTAACAGCAGACCTCAGTTGAGGCTTCCTCAAGGTCCAGTCCTCCGTAAAGTGCCCCACTGCAGTCCTGTTCTGTCTCATTTAATCTCCGTGACAGCCTTATGCAGTAAGCCCTGCTGTAGCCCCACTTTACATATGGGCAAACTGAGTCTCAGGAAGGGAAGTGATTTTCCTAAAGTCCCACAGCTGCACCCAAGTCCAGCTGACCTTCATATATGATCTTTACTTCTTCGGCACCTTATATGGCCAATGGGGTGCCAGGTACCTGGTCTTCAGGGAAGAGTCCCTTCTCACTCTATCCCCAGACACCCTGGCATACAGGTGGTGTCTAAGAAAGACTGTAGTGTGAGATTCTTGCTGCCTCTTGCTGCCTCTATTGGCAGACCCCAGGACCCATTAGGTGGTGGATACTCTGTGTGAAGTGAATGATCTGGCAAGACACAGGACAGAGGGATCTGGTGTTGTTGAGCCGATCCCGGCCTTACATGCTGAACAGGGGAAAACTAGACAATGGAACTGGAAGAGAAGAGTGGGAGCTGGGGAAACTGAGGCAAAGAGGAGCTCCCAATTTGTGGCCAGAGAATGCTGGAGCAAAGAGGAGGTGCTGGCAAAGTGGATCCCATCAGCTCGTTTTGATCCACGCCAAGAAAAATTTGAGGCAAGATTTCCAAAGTGGAGGAAAATCTACTCCCTGGCCCCTCCTCCCAGCCTCTGGAAAATTGGTCTGGAGTCTTCTGAAGGCCCACACTCTGGGACACAGGTAGGGAGGTGAAGAGAATGCAGGGCCAGCGCTACAGAACTCAGACGGGCTGTAGCTTTTCCTGGAGGCCACTCCTTAGGTTGTGGGACAGACACACAGAAAGACAACTTGTCCTTCCTGCTGCCCACCCCTCCCCCAACACAGGCACTGCCTCTTAGGGCGTCACTATGCCTCACTGCCCTGGGGCCAGGGTGGCGGGTGTGCTGGGAGGTGCCAGGACCAGGTATCCAGATGAGAAACTGCGGCTTGGTGGGCCAGGCAGCTGGTGGGCAGTGATGTCATCCCAGAGGCGGCTCTGGATCCCCTCCCAGCCAAAGCTTGGAAAATTGGGGGCTGGAGGAGTCTGCCCGAGAGAAGGGAGGGGAGGGGCAGAGGAGGGAGCCTCTGGTGTTCAGATGAAAAGGGTTTGGCAGAAGCAAGGAGGAGGGCTGGACCCCTGGTAGAGAGCAGAGCCTCCCCCAGGTTGGAAGGGGACTTCGCAGAGCCTCATTCAGAGGCAGACCTTGTGCTGGATCTGCTGGGGCTCCGGGGGTCCCTGGAATCCCTGCCCTTCCCTTGCCTCACACCTGTGTTTCTCCAACACCCACCTGGATGGAACCCTGGCTCCTGGTCAATCCTGTCTGCCAACTTAAAACTTCTAAACTAGGCCTCTGCCAAGTCAGTCCCGTGCTCCGGCATCTTCAGTGGCTCCCTGTTACCTACAGAATAAAGGCTGAATTCAAGCCCAATCTTTCTTGCAATCTAAGCTCAAGTTCCTTGACGCCCTGCACGCTTTCATGAAATATTCATGATTCAAAACACATGCATTGAGCACCTACTGCGTGCCAATGACAAAATTTTATGCAAGATCTGACTTTCTTAGCCTTTGCTGCAGTCCCTGCCCCTGCCTGGAATGCCTTCCCTTCTCTTTGCCAAACCCAATTCTCCCCTAACATTTCTGCCCCTGCAGAAGGCTCCCCCATCACCCTAGCCATGGTGCCCCCTCCTGTTCTCTCCTGGACTTTTTTATTGGGCATGGATGCCCAACCAGACTGTGTGCTTCATTCCACAGTCTCCATGATAAGTGGTGACACCCCAGGACAGGTGCCATAGGATGGGACAAAAATCATTATGAGATTCATCCATGCAAAAGCTTAGGATCTGAGGGTCAGGTCCAGTTCTGCTTTACCTTTACTTGCTCTATCCTGGGGAGGACACTTAACCTCTCTGAGATGTAGCTTCCTCAACTGCACACAGAAAAAAAAGCAGAACCTCATAGCTGTGCTGAGCATGGAGTGAAGTTACAGGGGTTAAAGTCCGATGTAAACTGTAGGGCTGTGTCTCTGTAACATGCCTCTCCCGTACCCACCTCCAGGCAGGCAGCCAGCACTTGCCAGCGGGAAAGAGCCAGACCAGAGCTCCCTGGGCCCACTCCGGGGTGGATGCCAGACTAAGTAGCCCCCAGACCCTTATCTATTAGCATCTTTAGCACCAACCAGTCACCTCTGAGTTTCCTGTCTCAAGACTTCTCCAACAACTTCTCAAGACTTTTGAGACACCAAAGCCCAGAGAAACCTGGTGACTTGCCTGAGACCCCAACACTGGACTCCCCTCAGCCAAACTGCCTCTCCTGGGTCTTTGGCTCCAAGCAGCGGGGCTCCTCCTGAGAAGACAGGTTATGTGGTGGCCTCTGCCCCAGGATCCCTGTCACTCCCCCAATCCTGGGCATGCCACCAAGGCCCCTCCAGCCCCTCACAAGCCCCTCCCAGGCTGCATTGGGGCTGCTGGTCTCTCAGCTATACGTTTGGTGAATAAAATGTATCACTGTGGGCCAAGTGGCTCACTGGCTCATGCAGAGGGGAAAAAGGGACAGGCGCCCAGTGATTAGCTCAGGCCCCAGCCCCTCGTCACAGGGAACACCAGAAGGATGATTGCAAGGGAAGCAGGCCCTCTCCCCCCACTGCCTCCTCTTCTCCTGGCCCCTCTCCCAGGACGTCGGCCTCCCATTCCCTGCCAACAGCTGTGGTAGGGAGGGCTGGGGCCTGGGCTTTAAGCCCTGGAGCCAGCCCAGCCCCCTCTGACCCTCGACCCTTCTGCTTTTCCTCCAAGCCCCCAGCCTGCATCTCTGCTCTTAGAAATGAAGGGGCCCCATGGAAGACCATTCTGGAAATCCCATCCTTCCCTTGATCATCTCTGACCAGGCACTGAAAATCCCGATGTTCAGGGTTTTGTTTTGTTTTTTTCTTGACATTGTCTAGCAAGACCAAAGGCTAAAGTCAAGTCCCTGACCCATGGCCCAGTTCTGCCCAGACACAGGCCAAGGCCCCTGTCCCTGAGGGCCATGTGGGCCGGCCTGGCAGGCCAAAGCCTTGAAAACCCCCAGGCTAGCGGCAGCTTCAATATCTGTATTGCTGGGTCCTGGGAGCTGTGACCCATCCTCGGTCACAGTCACAAGACAGCTCCACCCCCACCCCAAATCACCAGTTCCCCACTGAGATCTCTGGAAACCAGGCTTGGCACAAGGACCTCAGCTCCCTGCCTTGGTTTAACCACCTGAAGTGAGACCAGTCACCTTTGCCTGGCCTGCCCCACACTCACAGGGACAGCCAATGAGATAATGCCAAAGAGAATGGTAGCCCACCACCACACCACCGCCCGAGCGCTTTCTGTGTGTCAGGATCCCCAAGGTAGCATTACACCCCCCTAGAGGGGTTGCGCAAGCCGCTCCAGGCGGCTCAGCCAGGACGTGGCAGAGCCGGGCTTCAAACCCACACACCCTGTGGCCAGAGCACATCTGCTCACAGCTGTCTGCGTGGTCAGCACCCCACAAAGGGCTTCAAGGCTGGATCTGAGAATGAAAAAGGGGTAGCCTGGCAGGCCGAGGGCACGGAGAGTGCCAGATGCCCTGCATGCCGACAAAGGGCCGCCGCAAGTCACAGGGAAACAAGCGGAAAGGAGCCTGCGGGCACCGGCTCCGGAGCATGCGCGCTGGGACCCACATGTTCGCATGCACGCAGGCACATGCACACCGGGCAGTACCTGTCACGTCCTTCTTGGGAGACTCAGCCCAGCTGGACAGCCACACTTCAGAGTCCCCCGAGAGAGCAAGCAGCAGGAGAGGAGAACCAGAGGAGAGAGAACCGTTAGGCAGGCAGGAGGTCCACCCGAGTGCTGCAGGCGCCGCTGGATCAGCAGCCGTGGGCGGAAGGCGGGGGAGGGGAGGGGAGTGATTTCCTGGCCCTGGGATGGCTGCTGGGCGTGGGCCTGTGTGATTACAGAGGCTGGGACCGGGATAATGAGGTGTCTGTCGAAACGCAGGAATCCTCTGGAGCGCAGAGAATCCTACGCAAAGCCTCCCTGCAGTGGGACCCTCTGGTTCCAGGGCCCTGCAGCAGGCAGCCCTCTCTTCTCTGTGGCCATGTGGGTGGCTGGCCCCACAGAGCTCCCGGGATTCTGGTGAGCTAACAGGCTGAGCAGCCTGGACCTAGAAGCTCAAATGTAAGGGCTGAGGCACTCAAGGCCAGGCTCCAGGTTTGGGGGTGCCAATCTACTAGGTACCCTTGCTCAGCTCTTGCCTCAGTCCCACCCAGTGAGGGTGGAAGGAAGTCTCCCTGATAGAGCCTCACTCCTGGCTCTAGGCAAGAGGGACCTCTAGTGACCAGGACATGACCCCTCTGTTCCTTGCTCAGACAATGGTGTTCCATCTGGGCCTCAGTTTCTCACCTGTAAAATGGGGTTAAGTTATCCTGTGGAGGAGGAGCAAAAAAAATCAAAGCACCATAGAAGAACATCTGATTATGAGATGTGGTGCCACTAACGTCCTGAGGCAGAAAGCTCTTGGCCTAATCACGGGTGTGAACATTTTTAGAACATCAGAGCTATAACACATGCAGCCCGGGTGCTGGCTGCCAGTACAGACTCATTTACTTCCCACACAACCCCAAGAGGTGGGCACGCATCTGTGGACCCATCTTGCAGACAGGAGCCATTCAGACAGGGGAAGTAACTGGCCCAAGTTTCCAGGAGCCAGAAATGGAACCAGGCCTGGCGGCACCCCAAGTCGAATACTTTCTCTGCTGGGCTGTTCATCACCTCCAAGGAGCAGAGAGCTGGCTGCTGTGGGGATAATTATAGGAAAACATGGAGATGTAAGTCTGAGAGCAAACCCTTGCACTGTCCACCAGGCTGTCCAGGAAAGCTGCCTGATCCCTTCACAGATAGTAACAATAAACAGCAGCATACATTTATATAGCACTTACTGTCTGCCAAGCTTTGTACCAATACTTTCCATAGAGTAACATATTTATTTTTCACAACAGTTTACAGTGGTAGATACTATTATTCCCTCCCTTTTGCAGATGAAGAAACCAAACCAGAGAGGTTAAGTTACTTGCCCAAAGCTGCAAGCTAGTAGTGTCCATCTCTTTAGGGACACAGACCTCAGGTGATCAGAGCTGGATGCCACTTACCATTTAAAGCACCTCACCCTCTCCCTTGCTGAGCAAGCCACCTTCCAATTGCAGGCTGACTTTCCACAGAGAAATGGGAAGATGGCCCTTCCAGATTGCATTGGAAGCCCACAGACTTCCAATTGGGGGCTCTGTGGAGAGGTTTAGGGAGGCCTATGGAGTCTGCCTGGGCTCAAATCCAAGCTCTGTCCCTTTGAGGAAGTTACTTAACCTCTCTGATCCTGTTCCTGATCTTGTTCAACTCAGGATGAAGTGACGTACTTACCTCCGGTTGCTGTGAGGATTAAATGAGGTAATACATCACAGTGCCCTGCATGGTGCGGCTCAGTAAAGGGTGAGCGGCCATTGGCCATATCTATCTCGAGTGTGTTCGCACACACCGGATTCCCTGGGTTCAGTTCCCTCCGAGTGCCACAGGAAAATCATGCTCCCAGGGTTGCCAGGATGGAAACTCGATGGCATTCGCTACTGTACATACCAAGAACACACTGGCACCTGCGCCCAAATATTTCCCCGCAGTCACTCTCAGACACCAGGTCAGCCGAATCGGGGTCAAGGGATGAATAGGGTTCGATCTGCAGCCAGAGCCTGTCCCTAGGCCTAGTAGTCAGCAGGCGCCTTGGCGGCAGGACTTCCAGCCCTGGCGTGGCCTGGACACGGACAATGCGCCGGAGCCCCCCCAGGGCTACGCAGTGTGGCCGAGCAGGCCCGAGCTCCCGCTGGGTGCCCACATCTTGCTAAGCCTCCAACTTCCCACTGCCCAACCCAGAGATGTGGCTCCGTGGGCTGCCCAACCAGCAGTGCCCAGCCACGCCCCCGGGGAGGCTAGTGCCAGGCCCAGCCCAGCCCCGCCTGTCCCTGCTGAGAGGTCACCCACAACCCTCTCCACCTCTGATGGCGGCTGTGCTCCACTCCTCCCTTTTGGGGTTCCTGGTGAGGAAATGCTCTGGGAAAGGCCGACCTCTTTCAGGGGACCCAGGCGTCTTCCCCAGCCCGGAGAACCCAGGAGGGCCTGTCCACTAGAACGGGGGTCGACAAGGGGCCTCCGTGGAGACCCTCCTGTGGCAGGGCACGTGCAGCCGTGGACAGGATGGGAAACCAGGAGCAGGCTGCTCCCAGGCGTCACTTACAGAGCCACTCGGGGGGCTGGGCCTGGATGAAGGGCAGCCCACCCGAGCTCAAGCCTGTCCCCTGGCCTTCCCTGCCCCCAAGAGAAAATGGGAAGCAGACCAGAAACCAGCCTGTCCTTCTCAAAGAAAAGAAAGATGACCTCTTCCCCAGTCCCCTGGAGGTGCAGAATCACTCCAACGCCACTGCTCCCACCCAGCGCCCGCCGCAGTCCCTTCCCCCCAGGCCACCCGAGCAAGCCCTCTCCCCGGGTGGGAAGGAGCCCTTCCGCTCCTTACGATGAACAGAGGACAGCCCTGGCTCGCCAACCCTGGCTGTCTGGCCAGGAGGCAGAGGAGGCTGCTGGCGCAGGGCTGGGGAAATGCAGATGGAGAGACAGCGAGGTGGGGTGAGGGGCGCCAGAGGGTGCAGCCGAAGGAGCAGCTGTGACCGACACAAACCAACTGCTTTCTGTCCTCCCCCCTGCCTCCACCTCCCTCTCCTGGTGACACAGAACTAAAGGCCCTACGGAACAGGGTCACGGGCCTGCTGGGAAGCAAGGGGCACTGGACTGGGAATCTGCATGAGGGGGTCTTGCCCATAACCAGCTGTGTTATTTTGGGCAAGTGGCTTGACTCCTCTGAGCCTCAATGCTCAAACTGTAAAATTAAGCACGTGGGCGTACTGATCTCTAAGGTAGTTGTCTGATGTTGTAGACTTTCCAGCAGAAACCTGGTAGTCTCCACAACACGAGTGCACCATAGCTGAAAATAATCTTTTCAAAGAAAGAGATCACCTTTCCAGAGAAAAAACGCTCAAACGTGGTCTCAAGGGAAGGAAACTCAAGTTCGAAAGGGATCTCTCCGGCACTAGCAGAAATTGGGAACAAGACTCAGAGAAGCCTAGTTCTTGTGCTCAGCTCACCCTGCTGCTGTTGCTCACTAACTTGGGGGGGGGGCATTTAGCAAGTCTCTGAGCTTCTTTTCCTTCCATAACGTGGGCTTGAAATGACCTACTCTGCTTCCTTCACATGGATACTTTAAGACTGGAATGAAGGCAGGGGTGGTGGTGCAGGCCTGTAGTCCCAGTTACTCAGGAGGCTGAGGAAGGAGGATCCCCAGTTAGAGGCCAGCCTGGGCAATTTAGCAAGACCCTGTCTCAAAGTAAAAAATAAGAAGGGCCAGGCATGTGGCTCAGTGGTAGAGCATCCCTGGGCTCAGTGGCCAGTACTGGGGGAAAAGAAGCCTGAAGTGACCTTAGGCTCCAGCCACAGTGTTCCTCCTGGCTGGGGCGGCCAGCCACACTGCAGGCCCAGGGAAGCCCAGGTGTGTGCAGGTCACAGCCAAATTCAGGGACCTGAGGGTGCTTCGATGCTGACCCCGGTTCTTGCCAGGTCCAGGTGATGACGAAGCCAAGGACTGCACGACAGGGGCCTGACTTTATGGGGGCTCCCAGGACGACCCCGCCTGGCCAGTCTGGGGGAACCCTCCATTTGCCTATTAAGTCTTCCTTTAACCTCGTGCAACTCCAGAGCACCGGGAACTGAGTGCAATCTGCCCAAATCTAGTCCTCAGCCACGTTTCTGGGAATGCTTCCCTGGTGCAAGGCAAGTTCCACCACCAAACTAATAAATCCAGAGTGGGCCGGGAGCCCAGGTGGGAGAGACAGGGCCGAGCACTGCCAAGGCCCAAGGCTCAAACCCCGTGGAGAAAGAAAGCCAACTGAAGGCTCGGGGGACCAGGCAGGGCCACCCCTTATCAGCTTCCACAGCCCCTGCCCTGAGGTCCTGGAGGGGAGGGACAGCAGAGACCCTGCAGGACCGCCCCACTCCTGGGAATTCTGTTGTTCTTACCCACCACCTTGAACTGGCCTCCCAAAAACTGCTGGACCCTGGTCCTTTCCTCACTGTGGTACCTGACCCTGCACAAGGCTGGAATTCTTGTTTCCTGTAGACCACACCTGCTTCTTTTTCTTTGTAACTAGGCCACCCGGAATCTGGCCACTGCTTTCAGGCCATCCACTATGGAGGGCCTGGCGGCGGCTGGCCTTACTACCCAATCGTAGTTGCCAAGCCAGAAAACAAACCACTGTGCGAACATGTCTTCCCATCCAGACTCACCTGACTTAAGCCTGGAGTGAGTGGTTCACTTGTTTGGTGTGTGCTATGGTTTGTGGGGTCTGAAACACGTTTACACGTCATCGCCATTGTAACAGTGTTGGGAGGTGGGGTGTAGGGAAGGGGTCTGGGTTGTGGGGCTGGAGTCCCCGGATGAGACAATGCCTTTCCCCTAGGAATGGGTTAGCTGCTGTCAGAGTTCTGCCCCTTTTCTCTCTGGCACATGCCCTCTTGCCCTTCTGCTTTCCATCTTAAGTTGAAGCCGCAGATGTGGCTGCCTGATGTGAGACTTCCCAGCCTTAAGAACCCAATAAACCTCTTTTCTTTATAAATTATCCAGTCTCGGGTATCCTGATATAGAAACAGAAATGGACTAAGATGGCATGTGTGAG